TTTTTTTGATTAAAAATGTTCCAGACTATTTTTCTTAAATGGGATTCTGCCTGTGCCATCAGTCCTATAAGAGGAGCATTAGAATTTTGTCTTCATTAACATGTAAGCAAAGCATTAGTCAACTCTTCAGGAAGCCTTGCATTTGAATAGGTGAAAAGTGGGAACAACTGCCTTCTACTCATGTATATGCTGATGTCAAAAAGCTCACTATTAAATACAACTTGTGAATGGTAAAAGTCTGATAATCCAAATTTTGGATAACCTACTTTTCACATTTTTATACTATCTGGGTATTCTAAAGGTGTTTTTTTACCCCCAATTCCTTGACTATTCTACCTTTGCTTCTGAATCAACACATCTTAAATTATGCATTATCTAATTAATCTAGAAATAGGTGGGGATACTAATGCATGATATCACATTTAACCATGAATTTCTTCATGACACGGTCCTACAGAGGCAGCCAGTGACCCAGCAAGGTTGTCCGTCCCCCTCACAGGCCCAGCCACAAGCTGCTCCCAGGCCTTTACAGTAAGCTGCTTTGCTCAGAGCTAGGGACTCCGGTCGCTGGAGGTTTTTGAGATTAATTTGGATCTGGCAAATGTCAGAGGCCAGATTATAGGATTTTTAGAATAAATGGAACCACACCTCTAAATATAATCTACATATTTGCTGGCTGCTTGCTTGCTTGCTTTGGGGCAGAGTTTTGAATTGTGAAAATGCCTGATGCTTTGTTAAAACGAACAGTTACTACCTGCTCTCTTCAAAGTCCTCACCTTGGATTTATTAAGGTGATTGTACAGATGATGGTGTGTTTTGTTTGTTACTAAACACATAAACATTGTCATAACCATCCCTTGGTTAAACAGTTTCAGCTTCCCAGTGGGAAAAATTAAAAACGGACAAAGCATCCACATTATTAAGAATCAAAACTTTTCCATATTAGAACATGTGGAGAAGCACATGTCTAATGGAAGCATTAGAGTCTCGACTGTCACCTGCCCTTTATAATCTTCCTCTTGATCTAAGTGATTTTATTTTCAGTTCTTTACTCTTTTGGGTAACGTCCAGAGGGCAGGTGTATTCCTAAATATTGGATGTGATTTTAGGTTAATGACTTTTCCCTAAATTCACTTTGTACCATGTTTTTGACTAGATTTGTCTCATCTGTTATTTTGAGATTATCTCTCAGAGTTTCCAGAACCCATTGTCCAGGTTGAGAGTGACAATAAACCTGACATTTTAGGCAAGAGATAACTCACCAAACTTAATTCTGTATAGAAAATGTGAAGGGTGGGACAACATGGGACAGGGATTTTAGAACAAATGAGCTGTGATTTCAAATTATTTCATTGAATCTGGAAAGAAGAACAGAGGACAGTAAGTGTTAACAGTTTATAATTTTTCCCTCATTTTCTACTATTTTAAACTAGAGGCCCGGTGCATGAAATTCCTGCAAGAGTAGGCCTTCACAGCCCTGGCTGCCTCCCTCGCAGCCACAGGGCAGCTGTCTCAATCCCGTGGCTGCAGGCCCGGCTTCGTCCCAGAAGGACATCCGGTCTAATTAGCATATTACACTTTTATTATTATAGATTTTTTTTTACTCTCACATAGTGATGAAATGTAAAAATATTTTGATTCACTCTGGATGGCAAAGACTCTTGCTGAGTATTCACATAGAAGAAGGGAGACAATGGTTGGGGCTTCAGGTAGGATTGTTGAGCTTCTACTGTCCATGCGAGGCTGCTGATGGTCACAGTAAAGGATGCTATTTCTTGAAACTGCTTTCATGAACAGCTCAGCCTCTTACTCGAAAGGATTGGTGCTTCTAAATTACAAATTGTACTACAACTACAAAGAGTCATATCACAGTGGATGAAAAAACAGTAATATTTCCATTTAACAAAATTTCCCAAAGTGGGTCCTATGGAACATGAGCTCCTTGGAATGTTACTAAGTTTAACTCAAAAAAAGCTTCTGTGGTCAGATTAATCTGGAAAACACTACCCTAACTGAAATTACATCCGTGGTGTGCTTCTTCCCTTCTGCAGGACATTTAAAGTTCTATGGAACTCACTTTGGGAGATACTGAGATTCTATTACTCCGGTGGTATGCAGCTAACTAGCTCAAAAGTCTAGATATCAATGATTTAATATAGAGGCAGTTAAATAGGCTCCAGTGTGATATCTAGCAGGCATGTCATTTCTGGGTCAGGAATGCTGGTGTGATGAGCTAAGGCAATTTGGGGGGCATAATAAGGAAAGATCAGTCTAAAGATGGCTCGAAGGAGGGAAAAAAATCTGAAATCATTGGAAACTGTTTACCCAGAGTATGTATTACTATACTTTGAAATGTACAATGAAATGTTGCGCTTTCTAAACCTACTGCATTGATTCAGATTTAAGAGTTTGGCCTGAAAACAACTCGGGGGTGGGAGGAAATCAAGGTTTGCCTGGTAAAGAAAAAGTGATCACTGCCTTTCTGAATCCCTTGTGTATTGTCAGATAGCCCAGTGATATAGATATCCCAATTCAATAGTGTAATCAATCTCCTAAAATTACTTGAGGATTGAAATGATGATGTCATCACTCTCATGCAATCCTGTTTGCACAAAATACACGTGGGTTGACATCATTCAAGTTGTATGAAATAAGGCCTGTTTTAACTTATCCAGATTGCATATGCCCCTTCACTCTATAAAACACTCTGAAATAAGAGTATTACATAGACAAGATTCAAGAGGCCACTGGTAACCAGTAATGTGTACATATGTGCATGAGAACTACAACTTCAGAGTTGGGCTAATGGGTCACATTAAATAAATGCAGGTCTTGGGAACTGGCTTTGGAATTTTCTATGTAAGTATCATTTATTCCATTGATTAGAGAATTGCAAATACAATGATTTTTTAAAATTTTCCCTTCCTTAACACCTCCCCGCCCCCCCCAATCCCAATCCATTTTAAGAATGGCCAGTGGAGCGGTAAGCAGCAGAGCAGCGCATGGAGGAGGCCTGGGCTTGCTGGGGGCTCATGGCATGTGGTCATTCGTTCCCAGCTTCATTTCCAAAGGACTGAAAAACCATCCCAGATTTGGCACCGTGGGAGCTATTGGCAAGGTGAACTCGGGCTGGGGAGTCTGGGCAGCCTCGGCGACAATCCAAAGCTTTGGCAGTGCTGTTTAGGGGGTTTCACATGCAAACTCCTCAACTCAGTTTCCCTAGTGGCTACATTCAACCTTCCCTGTCCCTAGAAGAAGGGAGCAGCCAGGAGCCACAGGGCACCCAGAGGGTGAGTCTGTAGACCCCCAACAGCTGGAGGAGGGTCAGAGAGAGCGAGCTCCAGGACAGGGGAAGGGAGCAAAATACTCTGATTGTAGTATTTTGTAGACATAGGTATTGACCAAAGTGCTACTATTCTGCCTAGAATTTCTATCTTTTAAAAATCTATATTACAAGCCAAAATGAGAGGAAAAAAGGGAATAGGAAATACACATACTACGTGGTTAAAGTCAGAAATGAGTTAATTCTACAAAGCAAAAGGTAGAAGATGCCGTGTGAACCTCAGCTAGGGGGACAGTCATGCACTCCTGCCCTCAGCACCACCTACTGAGATGTTCTGCAGCAAACAACACTAACTTACTAATTTAACTTAGTAGCTTTTCTTTTTCATCTTCACCAAAACCATACTATTTTAATTTTGGACAACAACGACGATCATGGCATTGAAAAACCTCTTCCCTTGTGATTATGAATTTTGGAGTTAAAAATAAAAAAGGAAAATTGACTGTGTACCGTAAAATTAAAGAGCTTATTCTTGAACTTGAGTTGGATGATGGGCTTTGGTAACTTTCTGGAGTTAGAACATCCTGAATCTTCAGGCAAACTCGGGCCACCTGGCCTGATCATCCCACAATGACCACAGTCAGTGTGTTCCCCACATTCCTCTCCTGACCCCCACCCCAAATACACACATCCAACTGTTCAGTGCCTCTTAATTAGGCAAAGAGCTTAGTCTACATGGCGGTAGGTGTTTTGTACTAGAACATTCTATGGCTAAAAAAATTATTAAGGTTCTAATCCTAATGTTGGAATTCTAAAGTCACAGTTTACGAAAGTAATCAAAGCTCTTGGGAAACTGTTATTCATTCTCATTGGAGTCAAAAAAAGGTAAGTGCTGGGAGGAATCGACAGACTGCAGTCCTTGGTGACCACGAGGGACTCTTCATCCGCCCGGGTTCTCTCTGGAACCTGCTTCAGAAAAGCTCCCCAGCTGCGGAAAGCGAATGGGGCCTTTGAGAAGCTATGACAAATGCCGACTCAGAAAGAACAGAGCCAGGTGGACACCCTGGCATTTCAGACACAGGGCTGGGAACGCACGGAAAATCCTGTTTGGCTGCTCGAGCCACCGCCGTCAGGCAAACAGGATGCCTGAGCATTTTCTGTCAATTAACTTATAAAATACTGAGATTGGAAATGTGACTTTGGTAATAGGAAACAGAGAGCAGCAAGCCTGGCCCCAGAATAACTCTGGGCTGCCTTACAATACGGTTTGAGCTTGAATTCCCAACCCGCTTTGTGGTCACTGAATGGTTGGCCTGGGGAAGCTACCTGCTTCTCCACAGTCATGGAGAAGCGCATCCCGCAATTTACCACCAAACTCCAAAATGTGGGTGGGAACTCTGGCCTGGGTTTCGAGAAATACTCATGCAGTTCTGCTGCTTCTCAGAACACTCCTTGAAAGACACTTGAAAGCTACCAGGATAGGAGAAGAGGGGGAGGGCATAAAACTGGCAGCTGGAGCTCAATTCAGGGTAGTAACCTCCCCAACTTTCTCTTCCAATGCAAACAAGCAACTTCCCAAGGGGGCTCTGTGACTTATTCAGCCATTATTTCCCCCCCTATCTACCCTTAAAGATGGAAGGAATTATGATAACTGTGATTTGTTTTTCTGACTTCCCTTAATAGGTTTCTTGGTGACAAAAGACAAAAGAAATGTGGCTTCCAGTTGTGAAGTTTAACAGCTGCCTATTACATACAGTAAGGTGTAAGCAAAAGGTTAAGGTCATGCAGGATTAGGATAAGCGCACAAAGACTGGCACAAAGACCGGCTAGAGGGTACACAAGTCTATATAAGGAAAAGGGAGGAGGGAAAAGGTTACTTCTGCTGTGTAGGCGCTGCAGTCTCTTCTTCCCTCCATTTCCAAGAGCAGCCACGGAACAGCAAACCACTCCAAATCGGTTTCCGGGCTGCTGCGGAGTGGAAAACCTGGGCGCAGGAGGGTAAAGCCTTCTCAGGGCAGCTCTGCCCTCAGTAAGAGAACTGCCACCCTGACGCACAGGGGATGCCGGGGCCTGTCTCCTGCAGCTCTGGGCGGCCTGCCCTGCTCACTGCTCCAAAGTCTGATGCCCGGAGGGCCCTGTAAGGGATCTTGAAATCTTGAAAAGAACCTTTAAAGGGAGAACACATGGCACATATGCCATTCACATCATACATGTGACTCTACGACTAGATATTTGTACATTTTGAACGTTGGATGAAAGAATCAGGAAACATGAAAAAATGATCTTCCAGCCTCTCAACATCGGCCCTCTTTTCATCGTCACTGGATACAGACCTAAGACCGCCAGGGAGGGGGCATCCCATGTCTGGGATGGGGGATCCTAACTGTAACTTCCACGGCTTCACGACATTAAAAGAGACCAGTGTGTTGAAAGTCCTTTAGTCTACGGCAGCTGAGCCCCGAAGGGCTCACTGCTCTTCTGTTTTGCTGCTATTCCTGAACTTCACCACCATGACTGTTATGTTGTCAGGGCAGCCTCTATAAAATGACTGTAAAACTATGCTCTTGGCCCCAAAGTGAGGTTCATCCAAGCGCTCCTTGATGAACCGAACAGCTTCTTCATTGCTGAAAGCATCCCAGAGGCCATCCGATGCCAAGATCATGAACTCGGGCTGGAGCTTGTCCAGGTCGAAGGTCAGGATGTCTGGGTCTGGGATGACCACGTTGAGATTTTTCAGCGGATAATCCCCCAGGGATCGAGACATGGCCAGGATGCCCTGGACCCTCCAGGAGCCATTGAAACTGATGAAACCACCTGGGAAGAGAATGAGCTCATTAGCCTGACCAACAGAAAGCTCACACACTTGGTACATACAGTCTGGGCACATGTACAGAAGGCCGACTGTTGCAGGTGACATACCGCATGTGCTCCCCTCACCCACCCTGGCACTGCCAGGAAGGAACAGCACCCCTGCCGCATGGCTTGAGGGTTGACACTCTACCAGTAGATCCTCCTGCCCTCATCCTTGTATCTTAAACGACTTCAAGAAAATATCAATAAGAATAATGAGGGTAGGAGATGTGTGTGGATGAGGGCATCAGTTTTAACTTAACACCTTGACAGCTCAGTGATTGACAGTAGAGAGCTTTGAGGGTGGGGATTTGAGGAGAGTGGCAAAAGGCAGGTGTTTGGGGACCAGAGACAACGCTGGAATCCATCATTTAGCTTGAGACTGCTCTTCACTGTGCCTCTATAGTTCTCAAAACAGTACCCCAAATAGGATCAGGATTAAAAAAAAAACCCTGTGTATTTTAGCACAGTGTTTCAAGGCTCAGCTTTTGGGTCAGGCTGCTTGAGCTCAATTCAGGGTGCCTATTCCTAGCCTATTTCCAGCTATATGTGACTTTGGATGAGAAACTCTATCTCTCTGATCCTCAGTTTCCTTGGCTGCAAAATGGGGACAATAATAGTACCTATTCCACTGAGTTCTGAAAAAGGAGTTATTCCATGTACATCACTTAGCACAGTGCCTGAATGTAACATGCACTCAATAGTATATATTATTATTATTTTTCTTTAAAGTAATTAGAACTTTGTTCATTCACATATTATTTGTCAGGTAGTTATTAAACACATACTCCATGCAAGGCGATTTGCAGACTTTAAGTTGTGCAAAATCCAGTCTTTTCTCTAAAGAACTAGATAGTCTGGCAGGAAAGAAAATCCGCGTGTACCAACAGCTACAAGCACAAAGTAGTATTCTCGCAGGAGAGACAAGCACCCCCAGAAGAGGAGGAAGGAATGATTTCCAGTTGTGATGATCAGGACGGAGTGAGCATAAAGCTGGGCTGGGGATGTCTGAAAACATTTCAGGAAGTGTGGTCTAATGGGCAAGAGCGTGGCTCTGAGGTCAGACAGTCCTGGTCTCAATTCTGGTCTCACCATTCACTAGCCACACGTCCTGTGTACACAAGCCTCTTGGAGGCTCCATTTTCTTGGTGGTAAAGTGAGGATGACAGTATCAACCTCATAAGGTAGGGAAAGCGAAAGCGTATGTCAATTGCTAGGGTTGGCTCCCAACACAGTGATCCTGCGATAGCAGTTGGTGTCACTGTTGTTGGAGACACTTTCAAGAATGGAGACAGAAAGACCAACATGATCTGGCCCAACTGGGTGCAGCAAACTGTCACACAAAAGCAGGTGGGGACATACCATAGTAGATGTCCCAAAAAGGAAGGCTGTCTACTACATTCCCCATCTCCATCCCAATTCCAGAATGTAAGTTTATATCCCCAGCCGTTAGTTGTGGGGAAAAAAAAAGAATAAAAAGGGATTCCCACTCCCTTAAGTATTTATTTATACCAGGTACTGAGCAAGCTGCTTGGAGAAATGAGCAGACCATGTTCTTGCCTCAAAGAGCTCCCAGTTGTGAAGGCAAGACAGAGAAGAGAACCATACTTTGTAAAAGGTGACCCCCGAGGTCCACAGAGGATGCTGGGGAAGGAACGAAGACGCACCTAACCCAGCCCGGGGAGCCTGTGGTACTGTGTGACAGGGAAGGCTTCCGAAAGGACACCCTTAAACTGGGTTTTATAGGACAAGTAATTGCTATCCACTAGACAGTGGGAACGGCATTTGCAAAGGCATGATATCAGCCATTGCCGGTGTGGCTCAGTTGGTTGAGCATCGTCCTATGCACCGAGAGGTCACCGGTTCAATTCCGGGTTGAGAGCTTGATCCCCAGTAGAAGGTGTGTGGAAGGCAGCTGATTGATGTTTCTCTCTCTCTCTCTCTTTCTCTCTCCCCCCCCCCCTTCTTCTCTCTCTAGAATCAATAAAAACATATTTAAAACAAGGAAAAAAAGCATGAGGTATCAGAAACACGGTTCATTTGGGGAGAGGTTAGTAGTCTGGCATGGCTGGAGGGAAGCGGGATACGGCAAGCAGGGTCCAAAGATGTTGTTAGCCTTTAAATGAGCAAAGGGCTTTTTTGGCCCTTTTGGAATCCTTGACCATAAAGAAGGGCGAATTCAGTGGCTGTTGTAATATTGTTGTAATATTGCTGGGCAATATTACAAAGTCCAGTCTCAGCTACTTCAGCGGCAGCCTCTGTGGGGGTCTACTAATTGCAGGTAACTAAACCTCTGATGCCCCAGGGGCTATCCAAGCAAGGCCCCTGTCTACCCAGCGAGGCAGCAGACAGGGCTTGGAGGCGTTCACAAGCTCACCCGCTCTCTTGATCCTCTTTCTCTCCTTCAGTTGGTAAGGCTTGTGATCATGAGACAAGGGGATGGCGTTCCCGTCCTTGTCACATAGGACCCCCCGGGAGTCACCCACGTTGGCCACCGTGAGGTCTTTATCTGACAGCAGAGCAATCAAGCACGTGGTACCTGAAAAGCAGAAGAGAGAGGCAATGTAGGAGGTCAGCAATGCATGGAGGTGCGGCTGCTTCATGTGGCGACTGGATCCTTCAGTCATTAAACCGCTCCTGCTGGGGGAGAATTCTACTCCAGCCCGGGAATGACAGCTATTCAAGTCATCAACACTGATCAAATCTGACAGTCAATTTTCTTAACCAAGTTACCGTGTCACCAAAACAGGCGAGCATAACATTATCATTTTCCCAAGTCATTTTGTCTCCGCTACTCTTAATTTAAACACATACCACATTTAAAAGGATTAGGAGAGAATAACAATCAGTTTGAAGCTTCAGACAATTGATACATATTTTCTGCTTTTTGCCAGTGCCCAGTTTCTGTGAAGATCCATTTGAAAGTGGGGAGAGTTGCGGGGGGGGGCTGGACAGCCTGGAAGAGCCAGTAATTGACAGATGCCAACAGCCAGATCCTATGAAGCCACCGGGAGCCGTGAGGGAGCTGCCTATACAAATTTGCCTGCACAGCCTGACAGCAAAGACTAGTGGTCAGAAACAGGGTGTGGTGGGGGCAGACCATAAAGGTAGAAGCAGAAAAACCTACCGTGATGGCAGAAATGAGGCCTCGGTAGACAGGAGGGAGGGTTTGGCGGGGGTGTTGGGGGGACGTGACAAGATTGAAGACCTGCTTGCCTGGAGCCCACACAAGACACAAAAAGACACGTTCTCTTCAAACCCTTCTTGGAATGAGAATGGATTAAAGCAAATAGAGTTGGACAGTCTGGTCTAATTGGAGCTGCCCTCATTACCTGCCCGATGCCCTGTCCAACTCCTCTCCTTCCTCCTCCCTCCCTTTTGACAATGTCACCGAGTATGCAAATACATGCTGGAATGCACAACCTTTTAAGTGCTTGCTTCAAACTGATAATGCCTTTGCTTGTTAAAATTATTCAGCAATTAGTCTTCATTAATATTTAACCTCCTCATTAAGAAAGTCATATTCCATAACAGAATGTAAACTGCATCTAAACAGCTCTTTAGTCTTCATGGAACAACACAAAAGACTGAATTCTTAAATAGACATAAAGAATAAATACAGGTTGCTATCAAGAGCAGGAGAATAATTAGCATATTCAGTTCTTATAGCTCTACTAGAGGCCTGGTGCATGAAATTTGTGCATGGGGGGGGGCGGTGTTCCTCAGCCCAGCCTGTACCATCCCCTTGGGGGATGTCCAACTGCCGGTCATCCCTCTCACAATCCGGGACTGCTGGCTCCTACCCGCTCGCCTGCCTGCCTGATTGCCCCTAACCGCTTCTGCCTGCCAGCCTGATCGCCCCCAACTGCCCTCCCCTGCTGGCCTGATTACCCCCAACTGCCCTCCCCTACTGGCCTATTCACCCCCAACTGCCCTCCCCTGTCGGCCTGATCACCCATAACTACCCTCCCCTGCTGGCCATCTTGTGGTGACCATCTTGTGGTGGCCATCTTGTGATGGCCTACTTGTGGTGGCCATCTTGTGATGACGTTGCAGCGGCCATCTTGTGACGACGTCGTGTGACACCACTTAGGCTTTTATTATATAGGGTTTTTAATTCCATTCTTAAGCCCATTTAACCTCAAACTACCCTGATCAGACATGGAAACACATGAAATGTTGGTCAATTCAGGATTTCTGATATGGTAATCCTTGTGAAATGAAAAAAGACTAATCTTAGGGATTATCAAAGCCAATTGCAAATATTTTACCTTAAAAAAAAACCCTGTAAGAATGAAAATGTAAACACAGGAACTATTCCCACAGTTACAATTCGTTATTCTCAGCTTTTGATAGTAGTTGCATTTTGGTCTTCTAAACCATTCTCACCTTGTCTGCAAGCATCTGATTGGGTTGACTTGTCTAACACAATCAGAGCATAACTTCTCCTCTAAGGCACATTGCCAGAGTTTGAAAGATGAAATAGAAACATTGTGTTACTGAATATTACATGACTTGGGGGCATTCCATCACCATAACTCTTGGAGCTGTCTTTCTAGAAGGCCCTCTTCCCTTCTCACTCCGCGTTCTGTGAGAGAGTATGTTCCTGACCTTCTCTTCCATTGCCATCGAAGTCTGTGCTGCTGCCTGAATGACACTCCTGAGGTCCAAATTCACTGCCTGGTAGGTGCTTCCACTTGCCTTGACTACAGAGGATCCAAGGAAAGGCTCTGGGGTCTCCATGAGAGGGAAGCAGAGGCATCCACTGGCTGAGCTCTGAGCTCCCTCCCCATCCCCATTCCAGCCACAGCAGCTCTCCATCCATCATCATCTGTGTTGAGCTGCCATGTAGGATTTTTGTTGTTTTTTTTAAAGAGGGGAGAGGTCATTCTTATAGCCAGGGGAAGAAAAATGGAAATTTAATCACATATGTGATTAGGAACCACTGAAGGGTTTTAAGCAGGACAGTGATATAGTGAGATTTGTGTTTTAAAGATCAGTTCAATGGCACTGTAAAAGGTAAACTGGAAGCAGGGAGAACAGGTCAAATTAATGAGGATCTGAATTGACATAGTACACACAGAAATAGAGGGTACGGGACAGGTTATTTAACACCAGAAAGGGTAGGTCATAGAGAATGAAGGAAATAAAGGAGAGGAGGAAAGTCTAGGATAATGTCCTGGGTGCTCCATGGACAAGGACTTAAGGGGGTGTCTGCTTGGGGCTTCTGGGAAAGGCTTTCTCTCTCACTGGAAGGGACTCAATGCTGAAAATGATTCACTTCTTGGGCCTACTGTTGGCTCATGTGTTTCTCCACCATCTTGCAACTTTGAGGGGACATGGCTCAGTTCAAGGCACTGTGCTGAGGAAAGAGCAGAAGTAAAGAGCCCTAGTTCCTGAGACGAAATGAAACTGCTGAGCCAGTGTGGACTTGCCTATTCTTGTTCTGTGAGACACGAAATGGCTTTACTACTTCAGGCTTTTAAGTTGGGTGTTTCTGTTCCTTGTAGTACCTGATTCAGGGGCTTATTGTCCAAGGCGGGCTTATCAATAAGGGATTTAGAGTGTGGCTGTTCAGATTTACTCACGCGTTGGAAATACTTAAGATTCATGGCCTGCCCATTCCTTTGTCAAGAGCACAATCCCATTGTTTCTATGGGTAAATAAGAGCAACCTCATGATGCAGCTTTCCGGAAGTTCTGCCTATACTAACAATAGAATCTGAGCCATGGCCAAAATGGCTGCGTCCCCGATGTGAAATCAGAGTTGCAGGCAGGGTTCAGGATCACTGAAATGTCATTATTTCCTTCTGTGGAAACCTGCCTGAATCCTGGCTGCAGGCCCTAGAATGTTCTAAAGCAAACCAGGACACTTTACTGTAAGCAATTCCTTGTTTGGGCTTTGTAATCTTAGCAGGATTAGAAGAGACAGTTTACAATCTAATCTTACTTCACAGGACAAACTACCTTGTTGCTGAGAACATATTAAGACCTTGGGTCACCAAGACCTGAAGTACCAGGAGGGCAAACCAGGACACAGAGAAAGCAGCGATGGGGCACATATATACCAGCTTAGGTGAGTCTCCAGACTGGGCATGCACAGAAGCCACCCCCCAAAAATGGCTCTTTTTGGGTCTTCCTCTATAACTCAAGCTGCCTCAACTTCCCCTCATCACATTCTGGAGGGCAGAGTGGCAGGAATAACAATTTGTGAGAAAAAGGTCGATTACAAATTAGAATCGTCATTTCTTCCATGTGATTTCTGCGTAAACACAAATATCAACCATTGATTTTGACACCGGCTGAACATGAGGCAGTCAATTTGATGACAAATACTATTATTTTAAACCCTAGTGTTATGTAGTTTAATTCTAGATTTAGCTATGCTTGGGCTCTTCTTCGGCACACATATAACTAACAAAATGACTAGAAGAAATAAGAAACAGTGTGTGAATGCCAGAAAGGTCTTTTCACAAATGAGGTATGCTACCCTAACTATTAAAAAAAAACCAATTTATTTAAAGGGGGAGGTCATAATTCATCCGTAGAATCCGATGGAGTACTCATTTAATTTTCTCACTTCACCAGAGTTAAAATATAGATGTGTCATCAGATGCTCTTGAACACCATTTTGAAATTGAAATGTTCTTCAACTTCACATTTCAGCTGCTACAATAATCATGTTTACTTCACACTTGAGTGTGGCCTGGGAACACCCTTCTAACCCTTCCTTTTCAGTTAAGGAGGAACATGAGAGAGAGTCGTTCCCTATTAAACTGATCACATGCATTGGGGAGTCTTGAAAACCATAGCAGGCCCTCTTGGTGCAGGAGCCTTTATCTCTACTCCCTGGGCATCCTGAGAACAAGCAAGCAGACAAGCTTCTGTGATGCTCATTAACATACTTCTCATAACTACTGCAGACATTTAGTTCAGATGAGAGCGTGCTAACTGAAATTAATTTATAATTACATAATCGCATCCTGGATTCTAGGTCTAGTATCTTAATGGCAAATAAAATTAATTTCATGGTTCTCTGATTCTTCCTATACAAGCCAAAGAAGCATGGACTATATTTTTTTTTTCATGTCTTTGTGTTATTTGCTGATTCTTCGGTGAGATAGCTCATTTTTCTTCAGGTTTCCAGCAAATTACAGGTAGTATCTCTGTCTCTTTATAAATCTATGGAAGTGGGGTCTAATAAAACTTTGGAAATTGAGTTTTCTTAAAAGAGTTGTTTTCTTTTTCATTAAAGGCCAAGAGAAGAAAGGCCAAGAGAGGAAGGAGAAGAAGGCTGAAAATGAAAGGTACAGCCTGATTCATCTGGTGCTTAACAGAGAATTATACTTTCTTTCTCTTGGCGTAGAATCAACCCTCATCCGTATGGTTTCAATGAAAAACAAACCTGGCCTTTGAGGTTATTAAGTTTATTTAAATGACCACAAGCTATAAACCTATTGCATATACACACATGTGCTGGAGGGTGACAGTTGGAGATATTAATGAAGTTACTGCCCCACTGCGTGTGCATGGCCCTCCT